GTCCGTCGCCTCGGAATCGGATGCGGACCCGATGTCTGCCCGTTCGGCGCTGGTGTCCGCTGCCGCGCCAGCCGCGGCCGGCCGCGGCGGGGGGGGCGGCGGGGTGCCAGCTTGGCGGGGGCGCAATCCTGCGGCGGCGCAGGAGGGGGCCCCCAGGGCCCCCGCCTCGCGGGCGGGGCCATGGCCCGCGCCGCTGGGAGCGGGCGCCTCGGGAGGGGCGCCGGGCCCCGCGGGGGGGCCTTCACCGCCGGCGGCTCCGCGCGCGCGCGGAGGGCCCGCGGCAGGCGGAGGTCCGCTCGCGTGCCGGCCAGCGCTGCCAGGGGCACGTTCGGCGGGCTCTTCGGCCGCGGAGCCGCCTCCAGCTGCGGCGGCGGCGGCGGGGGGGCCCGATGTCGTCGTGGAGGGGGCCGCCTTTGCAAGGGTGGCTGCTCGTTCCTGCCGGGCCCCGGCACGGGCGCCCCCCCGCCCAGCTTCTCCGGCGACGAGAGGGGCTCGCAGAGCACGACGTCCTGCAATTCGGGAAGCTCGCGCGTGGGCGCCGCGATCGGGGCCCAAATGTCCGGCGGCGGCCGCCCGTCGATCTCTGAGCCTCTGCGCGGCCGACGCGCTGCTGCGGCGCAGCTCCGCGGAGCCCCATCTCGGGCTCTCCTCTGGGGCGCGCGGTTGAATCCGCAAGAGCAGGGCCAGCGACGCCAGCGGGGGGTGGCCCCCCGCGTCGGGGGCCGCCGCCGGGGGGGGCGCGCGCGAGGCGCGGCCCGACAGCAGGGCGCGGGCGGCGCGGCGCCCCCATCTCAGCTCTGTTCGGTGGCCCGGCGGCGGCGTCGGCCCCTTTTCCTGCTTCTGCCCGCGCGGCCCCAGCGTCGGCAGTGCGGCTCGCTCCCGGGGCGGGGTGCGCGAGCGGCCCCTCGGCCCGGCGCGGCGGCAGCGGCGGCCCGCGGGGGCTCGAGCTCCTCCTTCGAGCGGCGGCAAGTAGCCGGACTAGTGCTTGGCCGCCCACGCGTTGTGCGGCACGTGCACGGGGCGCGGCGCGGTCTGCCTATCCTCTTCCGTCTTGGCGCGGTGGCCCTCGGCTCTGGCGCGGCCTCGCGACGGGCTGCCCTCGTTCGCTCCGGGCGCCCCTGCGGCCAGGCATCCATCTCCTCTCGCCTCTTCTCATCCTCTTGGCGGCGGCAGACGCCGGCGCGCGGGGCAGCGACCTGCAGCAGCTCGGGCTGGGCCAGCGCGGCTGCGATCGCAGCCTGCGCGGAGCGTGGGGGGAGAGCCTTCGGCGCCCAGGCCAGCTGGGCGGGCTGGCCATCGCCTCCTTCCGCCCGGCCCAGCCCTCGCCCGAGCCTCCGCGTAACCTCCGTGCCACCTGCAAGCCTGCAAGGGGCGCGCCGCCGGCCCCAGGCCCATCGGGCCCACGATCAGGATCTCGCGCAAGCGTTCCCGCTCGAGCAGCAGCGCGTGGGTCGGGCCGTTGGCCCCGTAGACAATCTTCTTGGCTCCGCCTGCGGCGTCTCGCCAGTGCCCCGCCCGGCGCGGCGGGCCCCCCGCTCGCCCTGCAGCTAGCTGCTCGGGGTTCCCGCCCGAACGTGCCCCGCAGGCTTGTGGTGGGCGGCCATCGGGAGGGCGAAATAGCGCATCTGACCCGAGTGCGCGAGCCATTCCTCGGCCGGCGGCGCGTCGCCTCGCGCGGCCAGGATCTGTGCTTTCCGCTGGGCGATGGCCTCACCCAGCTCGGAAAACACGGCGCCGCTCGGTGCCGGCCCTCCAGCCGCGCCCGCGCAGCGGCGCAAGCGCCCGCGTGGACGCGGCCCCTGGAGGGGCGTCCAGTAGCAGGCCGTAGGGGGTCCAAGCCTTGGCGTAGGCCAGCGCTCCGGCCAGCTCCGAGCCCGCGCGGCCCTCCCGCTGCGAGGCTGCCAGCAGCCGCTGCGAGGCTGCAAGCAGCTTCCGATATTCTTTCCTCCAGCGAAAATGAAGCCCAAGAGCCCTCCCAAGACCTCCGATCCCCAGAATACCAAAAATCACAAACATCCGAATGACAACTAACTGTTCCCTCGCTTCTCATCTCGGGAATCCACAACAGCCACATGAAAGCACTAGGTTCCCGCACTCCTGACATCGCCAACCTTTTGTTTTCGCATGGATATTTGGGATTTCTGCTATGATAAGCGAGGAAATACGTTTTGATAAGGATGTAGGTGTTTCTTGGGATTCTGGGGATCGGAGGTCCTGGGGGGGCTCCTGGGCTTGATGTTCGCTGGAGGGAAGAACATTCCCAGAAAGAAATTGCATAGTTCTCCCATTTCTCATCCGAGAAATGCCAGACATCCAAATGAAAGCACAAGGTTCCACACCCCTGGCATGGCAAACCGTGTCCTCACAGGGGTTATGTTGGGTGCCTGTGATTTCTGAGGTGAAGGGGTGAGATCGAAGTGGAACGGAGAGCCCCCCTACTGGGAAATCGGTTTCGGTTTCGTGTTCGTGCGTGCCGTGCGTGCGGGCGAAGCGAATCTGCGTGGGCGGGCGACAAGAAAGTCTCATCTGGCTAAGGCGCGGCCGGACCAAATGATTCCTCTCCGGGGGCCGGTGCCGCGCGGTGTCCCGCCGGTGTCCCGCCTCCGGCGGAGGCGCGGCCAGACCAAATGTTTCGTTTTCGGGGGCCGGTGCCGCGCGGTGTCCCGCCGGTGCCCCGTCGGTGTCCCGATGATGATGATGATGATGATGATGATGATGAGGATGAGGATGCTGATGATGATGATGATGATGATGATGCTGACGATGATGATGGTGGTGATGATGATGGTGATGGTGGTGATGATGGTGGTGTCCCCGATGATGACGATGTTGATGATGATGTCGATGGTGGTGGCCCGATGATGACGATGCTGATGTTGATGTTGCTAATGATGGTGTCCCGATGATGATGATGGTGGTGATGGTATTGGTGACGATGATGATGATAATGCTGCTGGTGATGATGGTGTCACGTTGCTGATGATATTGATGATGGTGTTCATGATGATGGGATGATGATGATGATGATGGTGGTGTTCCGATGATGATGATGCTGGTGTCCCGATGATGATGATGTTGTTGATGATGATGGTGACGATGAGGGTGTCCCGATGACGATGATGTTGGTGATGATGATGCTGTTGATGATGATGGTGATGAGGTGATGATGATGATGGTGCCCCGATGATGATGATGATGTTGATGACGTTGATGACGATGATGTTGATGATGCTGATGATGGCGGTGATTGTGAGATCGATTTGATACCGATAGTGAGATCGATAGTGGGACCGAATGTGAGATCGATAGTGAGATAGTGAGATCGATTGTGAGATCGATAGTCGGATCGATTGTGAGATCGATCGAGTGAGATCGTTTGTGAGATCGATCGGTGAGATCGATCGAGCGAGACCCATAGTGAGATCGATAGTGATATCGATAGTGAGACCGCTCGAGTGAGACGTTGGCTCCTCCCCCCCGAACCTCCTGATCACCCGAAAGGTGGTCGTATAGGTATAGGTATATATATATATAGAGAGAGAGAGAGAGAGAAACAAAAAAAAGACAGCGAGAAAGAGAGAGAGAGAGAGAGAAAGAGAGAGAGAGAGACAGACAGAGAAAGAGAGAAACAAACAATCCATATATATATATACATGTAGAGAGAGTGAGAGAGAGGGAGAGAGAGAGAGAGAGAGACAGAGAGAGGGAGCGAGAGAGAGAGAGAGAAAGAGTCAGCGAGAGGAAGAGAGAAGAAGACAGAGACAGAGACAGAGACAGAGAGAGAGAGGCATATTCCAAGTCGAGCTGGCTACAATTTGGCTCTTATTAGAATACAGAAGACATCTCATTGGGGTGGAGCGGATCCCAGATTCAGCTGATTCAAATTTGCTTCCGGTTGACACCTAATAGAATCTAATCAGATATTAAGCAGATCCCAGATCCAGTTGATCCATATCGGACTCCTCTTTGGAATCGAGTTATAATCTCACTGGAATTCAGCAAGTCCCAGGCCCAGCTGACTCCAGCTGGATTCCTATTCGATTCGACATGAATTGAGCTCCCAGGTCCAGCTGATGCAGAATCCGGTTAGAGATTCGATTCAAACTTGAATTGAACTTGGGCGCGTCCCACATCTAGCTGAGCTCAATTCGGAGCCTTATTGGAATGTAATTAGAATCATATTGGATGGAACTGAACAGATCCTAGATCCAGCTGATTCCACTTTGATTCCTCTTGGAATCGAATTAGAATCTTGCTGGAATGGAAGAGACCCCGAATCCAGCTGATTCCATTTTGATTCCTGGTGGAATCGAATAAGAAGTTACTTGGAATGGGGCAAACCCCAAATACAGCTGTTATCAACTGGGTTCCCACTGGAATCAAATCAACATCTAATTCGAATTCGGCAAATCTCATATCCAGCTGATTCCAATTGGATTCGAATTGGAATATATTTGGAAGGTCACTGGAATTGAGCAGATCCCAGATCCAGCTGACTCCAATTTGATTCCTATGTGGATCTAAATAGAAACGAATTGGGGCGAAGCGAATCCCAGGTCCAGCTGATCCCAAGTGGATTCCTACTAAGATCTAGCTATAATCTAACTAGAGCTGAGCAGATCCCAGACCCAGCCGATTCCAGTGATATCCCAGCTCGATAAAAAAAAACAGCGGATACATTATGAATGTGAAAGATGGATGAGCAGGCGCGGGTGAAAAGAAGGCAGATGGTCAGTAAGAGTACGAGTGAATGCATGGGGCCAAGAACAATGCAAAATGAATGGGTGCGGGGGGGATGCGCGTGATATACATATAGATATACGGGTACATATATATATATATATATGTATATATATATATACATACATACACATACAAGTAAACACATGCATATACACATACATGTGTATAGTGTACCTATAAAAATGAAACCAATCGCCTGGGGGACAGAAGTCCTGGGACCCCAAGCGGTGGTCATGGACAAACCCCCGCCGAGAATCCTGGTACGGCCTGTCGACCATGTACGTGCTCGCCCCCACCTGCTCCTGCCAGGGCGGACGAGAGCCCGGAGATTCGGGCGTCGCCTATCTTTCAAACCGGGCCGGGCGTCTTCGCTCCGGTTCCGGGTCCCGGGAACATCACGGGCCGATCCGGCTCGAAGAATGCAGCAGCAAGACGGGGTCTATAGCTCAAGCCGTGGTTTCCAGTGCGCTGCAATTTTTTGGTGACGTCGAATCTCAGCAGGAAGACAAGGGGATAGGTATGAGAGGGGGTAGCAGATCAGCTCACGGCGCCGGAGGCGCCCATGCCATGCACCGGGGAGGGCGCCCGGGAGCGGGGCCGAAACCAGTCAAACGCAGCAGATGTCGCACCGCCTCTTTCCCAAAGCCGACCCGACCCCTGGGGAGGCAAACGGAAACACCTGCACTGCTGCTCCCACGGTACCTCTCGGGGCGCGACTCTGCCCAAAGCCCCGAGGGCGAATATCGGGCCCGTGGCGACAAGGGCCTCTCCCCCCACCTGGAGGTCCAGAGGCTCGAAAAGGGGAGCGACTGCAGAGCTGATTCACCACAAGACTGATCTCCTCCTCGAGCAAATTCTGCAGTCGATCTCCTATTCGAGAGGTGCGAGAAGCGGGGACCAGGAGCCCGCGGCCCGTCCTCCCCCGAGATCCGGCGCTGCGAAGCAAGCTGCAGCATCGCGAGGAACCACCACCGGAGTCCTCAGCCCCATCGTGCTGCTATATTCGGCTACGCTCGAGGGTGACCCTGGGTAAGAGTGACCTCTGGTGCGCGGTGTTTGAGGGCCGTGGGAGGACCAAACGCAAGCGGGCACGACGCTACTATCGCACCGCACTCGGCGATCGGGGGGGGCCTAGCGGACGCGCACCCAAGGTCACTCCGGCGAAGGGTCACTCTTACGTGCAGTCAAACCCGATCGATCTGTGATGGCCCTGGGGCTCCACATGGCTTTCGAGTCACAATTCAGCTCTCCGGCGGCCGTTCGGTCCCGAGGCTGGAAAACCGCCCAAGGCCGACGAAACCGTCCGAGAACCTCGGACCTCGGACCTCCAACCTCCCCCTCTCCCCCTCCTCCCTCCTCCCCTCCTCCTCCTCCTCCTCCTCCTCCTCCTCCTCCCCTCCCCTCTCCCCTCCTCCCCCTCCTCCCCTCCCCCTCCCCCTCCCCCTCCTCCTCCTCCTCCTCCTCCTCTCCTCCTCCTCCTCCTCCTCCTCCTCCTCCTCCTCCTCCTCCTCCTCCTCCTCCTCCCCCTCCTCCCCCCTCCTCCCCCTCCTCCTCCTCCCTCCTCCTCTCCTCCTCTCCTCCTCCTCCTCCTCCTCCTCCTCCTCCTCCCCCTCCCCCTCCTCCTCCCCCTCCTCCCCCTCCCCCTCCTCCTCTCCTCCTCCTCCTCCTCCTCCTCCTCCTCCTCCTCCTCCTCCTCCTCCTCCTCCTCCTCCTCCTCCTCCTCCCCCTCCTCCCGCTCCTCCTCCTCGTGGCCTCCCAGAAAGCCGCCGACGGCCGACGGCGGCCGCCGAAGGCCTCCCAAAGGCCGGCGAAGGCCGCCGGAGGCCCCCGACGGCGTCCGCGGCGGCGAGCAGCGCCGCCAGGTCGCCGCCGCGCACGCCGCCGTGCACGAGCGCAATGGCGTCCGCGTGCGACAGCGGCGGGCCGCGCGGCGCGCCAGACCCCGCGGCCGCGGATGGCCGGGGTGAACGATAGAGGGGGGGGGGGGGGGGCGGGGCTGGCCGCAAGAGGCCTAAAAGAGGCCCCCGAGAGGAACCAGGAGGCCCCAAACGGGCCCACCAAAGGCCTCCAAACTGCCTCCGAGAGGCCCTCGAGAGGCCTCCCACGAGATCCCAGCGAACATCCAACAGGCTTCACACCCACAACCCAAGCACGGTGGCGGGAGGGGCCGAAAGCCATTACCTCGGGGAGGGCAGCCCTGAGTTCTGGGCGCGATGCGATCCGCTTGTGGGGTGTCTTCGCCCTGTCTCGGGCTTGGGGGCCATCCTGGGTCGCTGGTCGATCTGGCTCGAAAAAGATGCGATGCGATGCGATGCGATGCGATGCGACCACCGTTGCGGACAGCGTCCGGGCCTGGAGCAGACCAGGTGGGTGAGGCCATGGCCTCTAGGATCTGAGGTGTCCGGATTCGTGCAGTGCGAGACGTGTAAAAAGTTGGGAGGAGGAGAGGGGGAGGAGGAGGAGGAAAAGAAAAAAGTCCATGCCTCCCGTCGCGATCTCTCGCGGTGCTGCATTTCTCTCGCAGGGCTCAGTCCAATCCCCGCCGATGTCCTCCTCCTCCTCCTCCTCCTCCTCCTCCTCCTCCTCCTCCTGTTGCTCCAATTTCGGGGCGCGCTTTCCGGAGTTCGGCCTCCGGGGCCCGCAATCGGGGCCCGGGGCCATCATACATGGATCGCGGACGAGCAACCGCCCCTGGAGAGCGGGTCCGGATCTCTGGGGCCGCGCATCTCAATTATTCACTGCGCGGAGCTCCCCATACAGTCGGAGCGTTGACCCAAGCAACCCGAAATAAGGAACGAGGCCCCTTCTATCCACAAGTTGAACCTCGATTTCCCATCGAAAAACAAAGGGAAACCCAAGGCAAGCTGTGAAGCAATCGTGGAACACGGAGCCCCTCCCCAACGAAAAGGGTTCCTTCTTCAGGGCCCCGACTGTATGTGCATCTATTCGCATGGACATGTCCGCCGTGAGTGTCTAGGCGCAAGAGCTGTCGAATATAAACGGACTTCAGCTGTGACGGTCTGGACATGAATCTAACTGCGAATGAGTTTGAGTGTGAATGAGCCTCAGTAGTACGAGCGCGTCTCTGCGCATGAGCCTGGGGCCTCCTGGGGCCTCCTGAAATCTACTGGGGCTTCCTGGGGTCTCCAGGAGCCTCTTGGGGCCTCCTGGGACCTCCTAGGCGGGTTCGTGCCCCAGGAGAGGCCCAATCTATAGCAACAGACATACATAAAACTTACGGATTAGAGCCACAGGAGAAGGGCAATCTATATGAACACACGTAAAACACCAAGGACTCGTGCCCCAGGAGAGGCCCAATATATAGGAACATAAGTAAAACATGTAGGATTGTGTACACAGGAGAAGGACAATCTATATAAACATACGTATAACATCAAGGAATCGTGCTCCAGGTGAGTCCCAATCGATAGGAGCATACGTAAAACACATGGGATTGGAGCCACTCCTGTTGCCTTCTGAGGCCTCCTGCTCCTGGGGCCTCTCGGGGCCTCCTGTTGCCTTCCGAGGCCTCCTTGCCCTTCCTGTGGCCTCCTGGGGCCTCCTGTGGCTTCCGGAGGCTTCCTGGTGCCTCCTGGAGCCTCTTGGGACATCCTGTGGCCTCTTAAGTCTTTCTGTGGCCTCCTGATGCCTCCTGGGACCTCATGCGGTCTCCTGGGGCCTCCTGGAGCCTCCTGTGGCATCCTGAGAAGAATCTGCGCCCACGAGCCTGGCCACCAAAACAAGCGAACCGATCGAGACATCCTCAAAATCTGGCCCACCTGGGGGGTGAAAATGAGCGCCTCGCTCGAGACATCCTCCAAATCTCCTCCGAAAGCGAAAGATGCTGGGACAGAAAACAAGCAAACCGCTTGAGACATCCCCACAAAACGGCCGCGAACAGGACCGTGCAACACCACTCGGCGGCTCCCCTTAGGGACGTGAAAATGAGCGCCTCGCTCTTGACATCCTCCAAATCTGCTCCGAAAGCGAAAGAGGTTGGGCCAGAAAACAAGCAAACCGCTTTCACAGGCGCCATTCAAGCTCGACGAAAAATGCCTTGGTTCCTGGAGCTCTGGCTGGCTCAAACTGGTCAGTCTGGCCTCTTCTTGCTTTACATTGAGAGGAGCGGCACCCGCTCCGGAAACGTCGTCGCAATCGCACTCTGCTGGATGCCAGCCGATGCCCACCCTGAGGGCATTGTGGACCAAGTAGAGTGAGGATGCGATCCAACCGCCTCACTCGGATTGCCTTGCATTGATGGGAGGAGGCTGCGGTGCAGCCTTCTCATGGCCGGCCTTCTTCGACTTGTGCAGTTCAACCCTCAGGCAGCGAACACACATCAGCGCATCCAGGACATCAGCGATGCTCTCCCCAATCGTGACGTGATCGTGTTGACGGGTACGTCGGGAAAAGGAGGCGCGGAATGGCCGGCGGAAGTAAAGTATGTCTCGGGCTACATGGTGATCGAATTCGGGTACAAGTATACAAACAAATCGTGTGGTATCACAATTATGGTGCGCGCGCGCAGGTTTGCAATGCACAGTATAAAACAGGTGCTCCCGGTCCCCAACAAACTTAAAGGTAGAGTCGCGGGATTGCGAGTTCAGCGAGGTACCGATCATCTTCTTCTCCTTGATGCTTATTTTCCTCCTCGGGTCTCCAAGTGCGATGCGCAGCAGACGTACAAAGAGACTGTGGATGCCATCGTGGATTGGCTTCAAACCAGCATTCATGAGGTTGGTTCGAACCGTCAGGTCACTCCGTTCCTGCTCACGGATCTCAACAGCGGGGTTCCTCAGAGAGATGATGATCTTGTCGCGGGGAGTTTCGGGCGGGGCGTCGTAAACTATTCGTTGCAGGCTTTGCGACCTGTCCTGGCAGCTCCAGATTTCACAATTTTTTCCACTCACTTCGAGCACCTCGGCACGTTCGTGGGCACGCACACCACCACGGATATTGATCATATTTTTGGGCCTCGTGCACTCTTACCTGCGGTTGAGGATGTCAAGGTGTTGGGGAGGGCTGCGCGACGTCTTCAACTCCATGTTGGTTCCCAGCCCCTGGACCATCGGCCTGTTCAGATGTCCGCATTCGTTGTCCATGACACGTCGTATAGCTCTCAGGGCCCTCGGCGACCCAACCGGGAAGCCCTTTACTGGTGTCTGCAGCGTGGGTGGAAGCGTGCAGAATTCTTCGATGCACTTGAACGGCGCAGTACTCAGCACATGAACCAGGCAGAGGTGTATTCGGACAGGGGGGACGTGGATAGTTTAAACAGCCAGCTCGTGAACATCATCAATGAGAGTTTGGAGGAATGTTTTCGCCGCTCCCCCTTGTACACGGAGGACAGGAGGGTCTACTCGCAGCGTGTTCGGGATCTCTTATGGGAACGTCGGCAACTTCGGGAACAAGTTACCCAGGGCAATGTTTCGGAGGAGGAGGTTTGGAGATTGTCTTTTGAGATCACTCGGCGTTCTCGGGCTCTACGGGTTACTGCAAAACGGTATTGGGAGGACATCAGAACTAGGAGGTCGGAGGAGCTTGCTATTGCCATGCGACGGGGGGACCATTACAGTGTACATAAGCTAACGCGCCTTTTAGCAGGAAGAAATCGAGGGCCTCGTCAACGTCGTTACCGCGCGCTGCCGGTCAGCGCGGCTAGTGCGATACAGTGGGCTGACAAAATGAAGAAATCATCGGGGGGAGGGGGATGCAGTGGCATAAACATCGACATCGAAGAACACAAACAGCAAGTCGTATCGCAACCTCGCCCCGTTCGAGACCGGGGTGCTGCATTTCATCTTGCACGTCAGGACTGGGGGAAGCTCCGGACCAACATTTGGAAACTGAAGCTCTGGAAAACATGGCCGGCTTGGTCTTGTCCAGTCGAGGCTTTACGACTCATTCTACATCCCAATTGGGTTAACAAGCGAGTGCGTCCGGAACCTCATGGGCTTGGATATGCTGAAGGCTGGGACGACCACTTTTCCAAGCGAACGCGTGGACTGTTCCATCGTTTGCTGGTCACGTGTCGAATCTGGAATCGTACCCCATATATGTGGCACGCTGCTGACGCACGCCGTATCCCCAAACATAACTCTAAAAGCGAGTGCGAGGCCGAGCGCATTATCATGTTGTTGTGCTCTCTGGGGAAGTGGTTTACGATTGGTGCCATGGCTCATTCTTGGGAGGCTCCTTCTTGGGTCCACGGGGGGATCGCTCGCCGGCGCAGGGAGAGTGCAATAGTGATTCAGGCTTGTGGATCTTATCGGCTGCACTCCCTGGGGATATCTCATCTGCTCCGCTGCCACGACGCCACGAACGCTTTCTACAGTGTCGCTCATTCCACGCTCGAGGGGGCAATCAAGGCAATCTTCAACCCGGCGGACTGGCAGTTTGGACGGGATAGGGTATTTGACAGCTGCTTTCTACTTCAAGACTGTACGGGGACCTTCTGGATCAAACCCCGGGAGGGCGTTTTTCCAGGAGATGTGGCTGGTCCTGTTTTGTTCATGTGGTCTTACACTGATCCGATTCGACAGCATCTGGAACAGTTTTTTCTGAGGAGCACTGGGACGTTTTCTTGGAGGCCGAAAACCCCCTCACCCACGAATGGCACCACATCGGCACCACGGGCTTCGTTGACGACATCTCCAGTAAAGTACTGGAGGCTGGAGGCGGGTCGATGTATCAGGCCATCCAGGCGGGAAGTGAGTTGGAGAATCGAGCACTCACGCTTGGAATGGGGGTCAATGGGGCCACGCAGAACGTAAGCAAGCAGGAGAATCTTGCTTTCTTGGTTGGTACTGGGTCGTACGGCGTCCAGCGTATCCTCTCATCGTCCGGATCAGCGGTGGCCGGCAAGACGTTACATAACCTCCGCTACCTTGGAGTGCGATTGTCAGTGAGCTTTATCCTGGGGCCAGAGTTGGAAAGGTGTCTACAAGCTATAAAAATTGGGTGGAGCAGTCTTTTCCGTTTTTGGGACCTTACCGGGGCATGGAAGCTGAAAAAGACGAACCTGAAGGGGTACATCATTAATGCTGGTTTGAGTGGTTTGGAGTGTTTCACGGCGGGCAAAAGACAAATTATCCCTAAAAATTTGCATAGTTTGGATTCTTACGTCACAAAGCGTATGAGGATCTTAATGCAAGGGAGGGCGACGTCTTTGGAAGGAGCACACGCACGCACGCTTAGCAACCACCAGCTCTGTCACAAATTCGGCATCGGCAATTTCTATGTGGAGCTCCGGATACGGCGCCTCAAGTGGTTACAACACGTTGTGTCCCATCCAGACGAATCTGTTCAGCTTCTGTCATGTGTGTTTGGGAGGTTACGGGAAGGAGATGCGATCTTCGAGGAGGGGGGCAGGGTGGCGCCTACCGCAAATCCCTGGGCAGTGCAATGGCAACAAGACGTCGATGCTCTTCGTGTCTTGGAATCTGGGGAGGACCTTCTGGAGCAGACGGGGGGGGACTTTCTTTCGCTTTTCAACGAGTTCAGGGAGGACTTCCTGCGCGTGGACCCCACGGAGCTGCGGTCCCATTTTCTGCATTACGGAGGGCAGGAGTCCAAGGACTCACACGAGGGTGCGGGTCAGTTCGTATGCACAGCATTGCGGGCAGATGGCTCTGTGTGCGGGGCCGTGTGGGACACCCGTCAGCAGTTGCAGTCTCATCTGGCTTCCACCGTGGGGGGAACGCATGGCGTGCTTCATCTCGGAAGGGTGGCGACTCCTACAAATGTGTGCGTCTTGTGCCCGGCAGTCTTCCGGGATCGCAAGACGGCGCAAAAACATACGTTGGCCTATATTCACCGTGGCTTTTGTCCAAGAGACCGCACGCGTTTCGGAAGTGATATTGTTCGTCCAAAGGCGCTGTTCTGCAGGATCTGCCAAACATCCTTTGATAACTTAGAGATTTTGCTCGAGCACTGTGCTGATCATCTGCGTATTGTACTACCTCCAGGTTTCCATATCGTCGATGGCGCACCTCGTCCGGCCGAGGAGCGAGAGTATGCTCCGGGAAGGGGGCAACCAGGGCGCTGCCAAGGTGGCGAAACACGACGAGGACGAGGACAAGGGCGGGGTGAGAGACCACCTGATGGTGCAGCTGGAAGCGCGGGTCCGGGCTCTCGAGAACGGCGCGTTCACGACGATCATCGTGCCCAAGGAGCACGTGGTGATCAAGGCCATGACCGAGGCGTACGCAGACTACCTGAAAGAGCGCAAAGACGCTCCCGAGAAAGACATGGCGGGCCCGGCTGTCCAGAATACTTTCGCGATAGTGTGCGCTTTAGAGAGCTACAATTATCCGGACGCCTCCCTGCGCACGCAGCTGTTCGTCAAGATTCTCGGCCGGATCAAGACCATGATGGAGAAGTCCAACCCGGTGGAGCTCAGCGGGTGGATCAAGAAGGCTCTTGCCCTCCCTTGCTACGAGCGCCCGGGGAAGGACCCGCGCAGCAGGATCTTGTTAGACTTGCAGGGGGCCATCTTCGTACCCAAGGGCCTGGCCGAGGAGGACGCGGTGGCAAAGCATCAGGCAGAGGCAGTCGCGGCCGGGAACCTTCACGAGTTCCAGTCGAGCCCGCTCGAGCTGCCCACCGTGTTCATGAGGGAGGCGGGCAAATTCCTCCCCCTGGTTCAGATCATCGCGGAGCTTCTGCGCCACGCGGGGGGGTCAGTCACCATGAGCAAGGCCCCCCGGGGGAACATGGCGAGGCAGCTCCTGGGTAACAAGAAGAAGTGATTCATCCCTGAGGTGATCTGGTAGATGTGAGAACTGCAGCAGAGTCGATGTTTTTCTCTCCCCCTTCCTCTCCCCCCCTCCTCCCCTCTCCCTCCCTCCCTCCTTCCCCCCTCCCCCGGAGGCTGGCCAACAAGCAAACCGCTTGAGACCTCCCCACAAAACGGCCGCGAACGGGACCGTGCAACACCCCTCGGCGGCTCCCCTTAGGGACGTGAAAATGAGCGCCTTGCTCTTGACATCCTCCAAATCTGCTCTGAAAGCGAAGGTCGTTGGGACAGAAAACAAGCAAACCGCTTGAGACACCCCACAAAACGGCCGCGAACGGGACCGTGCAACACCCCTCGGCGGCTCCCCTTAGGGACGTGAAAATGAGCGCCTCGCTCTTGACATCCTCCAAATCTGCTCTGAAAGCGAAGGAGGTTGGGACAGAAGACAGGCAAACCGCTTGAGACATTCCCACAAAACGGCCGCGAACGGGACCGTGCAACACCCCTCGGCGGCTCCCCTTAGGGACGTGAAAATGAGCGCCTCGCTCGAGACATCCCCCAAATCTGCTCCGAAAGAAAAGTATGCTGGGACAGAAAACAGGCAAACCGCTTGAGACCTCCCCACAAAAGGGCCGCGAACGGGACCGTGCAACACCCCTCGGCGGCTCCCCTTAGGGACGTGAAAATGAGCGCCTCGCTCGAGAAATCCTCCAAATCTGCTTTGAAAGCGAAGGATGTTGGGACAGAAAACAAGCAAACCGCTTGCGACCTCCCCACAAAACGGCCGCGAACGGGGCGTGCGTGAGTCTCAGCATGAGTAAGTCTGAGTAGGAGTAGGTTTGAGTATGAGTAGGTCTGAGTATGAATAATTTTGTGTGTGTGAGTAAGTCTGGGTATGAGTAAGTCTGAGTGTGAGTCAGTCTGTGTATGAGTAAGTCCGAGTATGAGGAGGAGGAGGAGGGAGGAGAAGAGGGAGAAGGAGCAGGAGGCGTCCAAG